TCCGCTTTATTGCTAGTGGACCTAGGCCCTAGGTCCACTAGCAATAAAGCGGAGAGACAGGGAGCACGATTACAATCGAACGCGGACACGCAGACAGCTCGCAACTACACCGAGCAACACGAGTTTGAAAGCAGCATGGTGCACGTGCATCGAACACGGCGGCATCAAATAAACTGGCCCGCCACCTTATCGGCATGAGACTGTGATGGAATTCGCGGATGCTACTTCCGAACATACAGCATAGGGGTCCTGAAGTAGTACTGCATGAGGCTACCTAGCTGGAAGAGTGGTTGTGAACTGCACGTACAGCACGTGCGAGTGACAACCTTAGCAGTCGATGGCTTCAGCCGCAATGTTCTTCTTTTCGGGCTCAGGGCAGTCGCAAGGCAACCTCCCAACCTCAACCCACTAGGGCAATCCGGCAGGTTTGAAGCGTGTTGGACTCCACTTCCTTTGAGAAGGGATTACCCACCGTGTCCGAAGTCTTCGTTGCCGCCTTACGCTTGCTCTCGTAGATGACTGTTTGCTTGAGCAACTCGAAGCACTGATCCTGCGAGGCGTTCTCAACATAAGCCCCATCCAGACCCACACCTGCCTAGCCACGAGAAGCCTCGGTTCATCCACCAGCCATAACAAACGCCTTTTGGAACCCGGGGGACCTCACCAAGGCAGTCGCGCCCTTCCTTCAGAGCACGGCTCTGATTCCCGTGGCTCGGCTTCCGACTTATTGCGGTAGGTGTGGGAGCGTAGGGAATCCAGGCCCGACACCTGAGCAACCCTAATCGCAAACTCCAGGCTCTGTTGCAATCCCCATCTTGAAGGACTCTTGTAATTGAACGAAAGAAGCCGACAGCAATCATGCCAGCAACAACAGTTGGTGCAGTGGCCAGAGATAGTCGAAACCTTCACCGAAGTCATGCCTGGCATTTCGTAGGAACAGTAGTGCTGTTCTCAAGCACTTCGCATAGACCGGTAAACACAGCTACTGTGTGTCCCCTGACGCTAGCAACGGTCGATGGTGGTAAACCTGAGTGAGGCGGCAGCAGCAACAAAACATTGGATTTTGGACTTACGGGTTACTTCAGGTTCTGCAGTGTTCTGCTTGAGGATCACAGTTGTTCTTGGCGGGTTCTTCAGATATGTGTAAATGCGCTTCTACGTTGAAGTATGGGTATGAAGCACGCATATACGAGTATACATACTCTCACTGCCTTGAAATACTTACGTATGTCCTATGTTTCAGCACCCGTGTTTCCCTGTCGCGAGCATTGCAAAGTTCAACACGTGCATTGTGAGGTCTCACGCATCAAAGTACCACTGCATCTGCCCCCACCCGTGTTCACAAATGTACCACGCATCAGGCATGCTAGTCCGCAACACTCCGAATGGAGCCTTTACTACTTCGCCGAGTTTTGGCGTCCTCACAGGAATGGTAGCAAGGCCAGCAAGGAGATCAATGATAGCAGTGACAACTTCTGAGAATCTGAAACATGGTGTGAACGCAACCTGCAGCTCCGCTGGAAATCCCCTGACGCTGCCAGGGCCAGCAATGGCCGATGATGATGAGTGAGGCGGCAGCCGCAAAAAAGCACATTCCGTAGCTTAGACTTCTGGGTTACGGGTCACTTCAGGATCCTGCGAGTTCTGTCTCGTTCTGCATTGGCATCACAGTTCTTCTTGGCGGGTTCTTCGGGTACGTGCAGAAAACTAAGTCCACATACTCTAGACTGCCTTGAGACGTGGTTCCGAGTCTACTCTGTATTAGGATTGGAGCCTTTGCTTTTCCGTTTTTTGCGTTGTGTTCTTGCAGTGACGAGAATGGTGGCAAGGCTAGCAAGGACATCTATGATAATCTGAAACATGGTGTGAACGCAAC